AGAAAAACTATCAGTGTAATCCATATATAATAAGAAAAAGGAAAAGAACACATGATCGTATCAGTTGATACAGAAAAGGCATTTGACAAAATCCAATATCCATTCCTGATAAAAACACTCAACAAAGTAGGAATTCAAGAGAAATGCCGCAACATAATTAAGAGCATATATGGAGTCCTGGTGTGGCACTGTGGGTTAATGCGCCAGACTGCAAAGCCGTTTGAACTACAAGGTCAGTGGTTCAAGCTCACCAGTCACTCCTTAGAAATCCTACATAGGGTCGCTATGGGTCAGAACCGACTCGACGGCACTTAACAACAACAACAATGCAAAACCAATAGCCTACATAACTTTCAATGGAGAGAACCTGAAAGCCTTCCCTCTGCAAACAGGAACCAAACAAAGATGCCTTTTGTCACCACTCCAGGCATCCAAATTGGCAAAGAGGAAGTAAAACTCTCTCTAGTTGCAGACGATATGATCCTATACATAGAAAACCCCACAGACTCAGTAAAGGAGCTACTGGACCACAGTGTAAGATTCACCAAAGTGGCAGGGTATAAGATCAATATAAAAAATCAGTTGGATTCCTCTCTATTAATAATGACAGCACTGAAAAGGACATTAGGAAAGTACTACCATTTACAATAGCCACCCAAAGGATGAAACTTCTAGGAATAAATGTAACCAGAGAAACAAAGGACCTATGCAAAGAAAACTACAAAACACTACTACAGGAAAACAAAAGAGATTTACAAAAATGGAAGAATATACCATGCTCCTGGATAGGAAGTAAATCCAGAATTTTAAATGCCATTAATGAAAAAAATAGAGACAAATTTGAGGGCTCTAATAATACAGGGCACACACAAAGTACTGAACATTTTGAAAATTACACAAACAAAAGTAGACAAAATAGATGATTGGGACATTCTAAAAATTAAAAACATGCGTGCATCAGTAGACTTCACCAAAAGAGTAAAAAGGGAGCCCACAGAATGGGAAAATATCTTTTGCAATGACACATCAGACAAGGGACTGATTTCTAAAATACATAGGAAAATACAACACCTCTACAAGAAGAAGACAAATAACCCAATTAAAAAATGGACACAGGACATGAACAGACACTTCACCAAAGAGGAAATCCAGGCAGCCAATAAACATATGAAGAAGTGTTCATAATCACTAACCATTAGAGAGATGCAAATCAAAATAACAATGAGATAATCATCTCACACCAGCCATCACAATGAAGATCAGAAAAGTAGAGGACAATAAATGCTAGCGAGGATATGGGAGAGACTGGGATACTCCTGCATTACTGGTGGGATTGCAAAATGATCCAACCTCTCTGGAAAGCAATATGGCACTTCCTCAGAAAATTGGAAATAGAAATAACTTATGATCCAGCAATTTCTCTATTTGGTATTTACCCACAAGAAATACGAGCCATAACACGAGTAGATATATGCACACCAATGTTCATAGCTGAAATGTTTACAATAGCAAAATGATGGAGACAGCCTAAGTGTCTATCAGTGGAATAATGGATATGCAAACTGTGGTACATATACACAATGTAATATTCTGCTACCTTGAAGAATTCAAGGAAACTGCAAGCCACCGCATTACATGGATGATACTTGAGGACATTATGCTGAGTGAAATTACACAGTCACAAGATGAGAAATACTGTATAGAACCATTATTGTAAAAGCTTAAGAAAAAGTACACACACTAAAAGGAAAAAAAAAATCTTTGCTGGTTATTGGGGTGAAGGGAGGGAGGGGAAGGGAGGGATGAAGGGAGGTAGGGTATACTTTGTATTTGGGGGGTGGGGTGCAATACACAAGAAGGGTGAGGGGAATGCAAGAACAAGGCAGATGGGAGAACATTTAGGTAGGTTCACCTGGGCTAAGTGGGACAGAGGTAAAAATTATGTATGCTCAATCTTGGAACAACAGAGCTCTGGGATACAGGGATACAGGGATTGAGGCATGGTTTGAATGGGTAAAAGAGGGGAACTAATGGTAAGATGCTTTGCTGTCTTTTGTATCTTGCTATCCCTTGCCTACTATTGTAAAATAGACACTGAGGGGGAGTCAAAGGAATAGCCAGAAACATCACCATAGAAAGCTTATAAGTCCATCTTCAGTCTACAACTGATTGGAATACCTAAAGTGGGGCTAGGACTTGCCCAGTGAAGGAGTCTTCCTGCGGAGCCTTTGCATTGCAAAAAACCATAGATGGAATCCTGACCTTCATCCAGAATCTTTTGAGGTGGGAAATTTCTACTTGAAAGGACAAGCAGACCAACCTGGAGTGGATGTAAGAACCGAAGATACTTCTTGAAAGAAAGACCAGCAGGAAAAGTCAAAATCAATAATGGCTGTCTGGTTGACTACTACAAGAACAAGCAAGTTGTTCCCCTGGGACCCATCAAGGGAAGTGGTTCAGGCCCTTCAGGGCATATCCCCGTCCAAGACAGATTCAAGGGGAATACAACAGCAGGCATGTAGTCTTGCTGGTGACCACATTAGTCTGTCAATAAGCAGAAGTGGGGGGAAAACAGCAATGAAGTTGTGAGCTAAGTCTGACCACTTTCAATAGACTCCTGTCAACCTGGGTTGAGACCTGGTTGGCCAGCAATATAGTGAGACCTGGGAACTCCTTGGCCCTAGGACAGGGAAATGGCCACAGAGGACTAGAGCAAAGAGTGAAACGTCCAGCTGATAGGAAGTGTGGGGAAATGCACAAGAACACCCATACTTGCAGATAATATCCACTTGACCTGGCTTCAATGGCTGGATGTTCAGAACTCAACTAGAGGAAGAAAGAAGAGGGAAAAAAAGAGTAATCCACTACAGTTTGATGAACTTGACCTATACTTATGGATGTAGTAGCTCAAAAGAGGAACCAAATGTTTACAGTGAGGATCATTCCCACCCCCTTGGTACAGAGGGTTGACAGGGATGGGCAACTTAGATACTGGCTACCCAAAATGGTAGGCTACAAAGGCATGAAGTGGCTGGCTTCCTCCACACCCTCTGTCACTTTGTGACAGAGGGTGTGGGGGAAGGTAGAATCTCTACTGAGTGGTTTCCAACCTGTCTGGACAGGCCTGGTGAAAGGAGATGGGGATAAGACTCTTGTGATTCAATAGTGAATAATTGCTATCAGGACTGAATGAGCGAGTTGCGAATGTAAAGGTAGATATTTTGTAACAAAAGGAGGGGAGTGGTTGATTTTGCAGTCCAGGAGCGAAGGACATTGGGACCACTCAAGAGAGAAGAGCAGAGTGCGGGACCCTATCCAGAGAAACAGTGACACCAGAGATGGAGGCAGAGATGATGAGGTGGAGAGATGGAGCGGCTGCGGACTATGGACTCAGGGAGAGAGAGGGGCTGTGTGCTGATGGGCAGGGGGAGCCCCTCTATGTATCATCAAACAATCCTTTTTGTTTGATGATGCATGGAGGGGATTGTAATCATTGTAATGAAACGAAATACGATAGGATGAATCTAAAGCTGATGTTCTCCCATGTAAACTATCATTCAATTCACAGTAAAACCTTAAAAAAAATAATGTGTCACAAAGTAGATGATGAATAAATGTTGCTTATTTTCCCTGTACTACATTGTCCCTTTTGAGATAATAGAGGGAAACTAAACGTTGTTGTTGTTAGGTGCTGTCAAGTAGGTTCTGACTCATAGCGACGCTATGCACAACAGAACAAAATATTGCCTGGTCCTGTGCCATCCTTACAGCTGTTACACTTGAACCCATTGCTGCTTCGACTGTGTCAGTTGATATAATTTGCGGCATTCATCTTTTTTTGCTGACTTTCTATTTTAGCAAGCATGATGCCCTTCTCAAGGAACTGGTCTCTCCTGATAACATGTCAGAATTATGAGAGAGACGTTCTCGCCGTCCTGTCTTCGAAGGAGCATTCTTGGAATTTTTATCTATGGAGAAAGTGGAGTTTAATGGCCTTAAGTGCAGGTGCTGGAGGAGAATATTGAAAGTACCATGGACTGTCAAAAGAACAAATAGATCTGTGTTGGAAGAAGTACAGCTAGATTGCCCCTTGGAAGCAAAGATGGCCAGACTTAGTCTCTCATACTTTGAATATATTGTCTGGAGTGACCAGTCACTGAAGTATATCATGTTTGGTAAAGTGGAGGGCTGGAGAGAAAAGTAAGACCCCCAACAAAATGGACTAGCCCAGTGGTAGCATCAATGGGCTCAAATGTAGAAATGATTGAGAGGTTGGCCCAGGATCAGGCAGAGTTTCATTTTGTTGTGTATAGAGTCGCTATGAGTCGGTATCGACTCGATGGCCCCTAACAACAACAACAACAACAATTAAGAGTTAAGTGGGTCACACTATTATACACATATGAAACATCAAATAATACTTTGTACAAATTTGCTTATTTTCACTATGTCTTCCTCACCTTATAAAGGATTGCTTTAGAAATTCCTGTCCTTAAGAATACGGGGGCAACCAGATTGTTTGTTTTCCCTCTTCCATCTGCCACTTTAGTGGAAACCTGTTTGCTCAACTTTCTTCTAACTTTCTAACCCACCAGTGGACAAAAAGTCACTTGCCCTGTTGCAAACTCCCTACCTAAAATACTCAGGAAAAAAAAAATTGTGTGTACAATTAATGCTATTTGGAAAGCCTGTTTCTTCTTCATTTCCCCTTAGATAATGTGTATTAAGTTTCCTAGTTATTGGACCTCATTTAAGAAAGTACTTGTATACACTGAGTGTTTTCTCTTGGACTTAGGGATTGCTTCTTGGAACAGGGAGAAACCATCTGCCATCTTGCTGGAAGTACTGTTTTAAAGGGACAAGATTCTCATTGAGTGTACACATTGCTCCTGCTGCCTTGACAGATACTGTCCAAGTTTCTGAGAACGCTTCAGGAGACAGAAGAAACTTCTGTGTTTTTATTTTTCCAAATTGTCTTATTACTTCTTCTCTCATATCAGGGGCCCTTGGACTTAACCTTGAAATACTGCGTGAGAAGAAAAACAGAGTCTATCGACAAGAGGTTCTGTTTTGATATAGAAACTAATGAAAGGTAAGCTGGGGTGATGTGAATTGGCAGTACCATATGCTGAGCCTGGGTAGGTCTTTTATTTTCTTCTGTTATCCCTTGTTGCTGAACAGGTGCAAGTCTGTTAAAAACATCATTATCTTGACTTTCTTAACTGTTCTTCATAGGAATCCCTGTTAGACCTGGTCTGGACCTGATTCTCTCTGTGCAAGTTTTAGTCAGCCTTGCTTCACCTATAAGGAGCCTTGATGGTTCATTGGTTTAGTGTTTGCTAACCAAAAGGAGGGTGGTTTAAATTTACCAGCTACTCTGAAGGAGAAATATGTAGCAGTCTTTTTCCTTAAAGATTACACCTGGGAAACCTTATGGGGTAGTTCTACTCTGTCTTGTAGGGTTGCAATGAGTCAGAATAGACTTGATGGCAGCAGGTTGTTTTTTAGTTATGTTTGGAGTGTCTCTCCTGCTCTGGGCATAAAAAGTCACTTTTAGGGTTTAATTTGCTATCAGATATGTAAATCAACAGCATTTTGTGATGCTACAAATAGGATAGTAAGTCAAAGTTCTTTTCTTTTTTTTATTCATTAATGTAGTAGAAAAGAAGTGAAAATGGTTTATATTTTAGAGGGAGGACAGATAAGATAGAAGATGGTAGTGGTATTGGGGACTCTTTATTACCTATTGGAAATAGCTTAGCCCTCAGGTTTTAGAGCTATGGCTTGCAAACTTTGGAGTTAGTTGCATTTGTTTCTCTCCCATGCCCTGTTTTCTGAACCTGAGCAGTTGTATCAGAGGGAAACTTAGCCTTTAAATTTTAAAGTGAGAGAATTTGGAGTTATGTTGGGTACAGGCATACTTTGTTCTTGGGAGACTGATCCAAAATTCACTGGTTAAATATGCTTGTAGATTTTATTTCAGTATAATGTTTCTATTATCAGATATCAAGTTATAGAATAGTTTATACTAATATGATCAGATTGCTAGAAAGGAACTTGAAGAGTGTATCACAATATTGTATGAATAAAATTGTCAGTGGTGGAGATCAGGTTTTAAGAGATGTTTCTGTTGTTAAGTGCCTTCGAGTTGGTTCTGACCCATAGTGACCCTGTATAGGGTTTCCAAGGCTGTAAATCTTTACAGATGCAGAAAGCCTCATCTTTCTCCCGTGGAACCACTGGTAGTATTGAACGGCCGATCTTGAGGTTAGCAGCCCAACTCATTACCGTTACACTACCAGAGCTCCTTGAGGGCATGTTTATTTTATTTTATTTAAGGTTTTTATTGTGGATTGAGGGAAAGTTTATAGGGCAGATCATCAGTTTTACATTCAACAAATCATACACCTTGTTTCACCACAATGATTATAATCCCTTCCATGTACCATCTGTTACCAGTGTTTCTCTCTATTCACTTTAGCTCTTTCTTTTTTAAAACACTCAGGCATATATAATAATTTACACCACCAAAGGGCACATTCTGCAAATCTGCCTCCTGGCCACCATCCCTTAGTCCCTCACTTCCCGTGAGTCCAGAGTCCTCAGCTACTCCCTCTCTCCATGTCCCCATCTCTGCCTCTATCTCTGGTGTCGCTTCTTCTCTGGATAAGGTCTCTCATTCTGCTTGTGCTCTTCTCCCTTGCTGATCCAAGGATCCTTTGTTTCTTGACTGTAAGATTAACTACTCCCCCATTTTTGTTAACAAAACTTCTACCTTTACAATTGTGACAGTCACAATTAGTCATGATAACAATTGCTCTTTATTGAATCATAAGAATCTTATCCCCATCTCTTTTAACCAGACTCTTCTAGATAAGATGAAAACTATTCAGTGAGGACTCTTTCTTTCCCCACACACTATTAAACTAAGCTCCACCTTGAAACCTTGTAAGCAAGTCACTTTGTGCCTTTATCACCCCCTCATTTTAGGTTGCCAGTGTTTAAGTTGCCCATCCCTATCTACCCTATGTACAAACGGGATAGTATTGATACTTGAAATGAAGATTCCTTCCCTCTCTGTTGGTATTTAGAGTTACTACCTCCATGAGTATAGGTCAAGTTCATCAAATTGTAGCAATTTACCCTAGTTTCCTTTATCAAAATTTGTTTTAATCTTCCTCTAGTCTAGTTCTGATTATCAAGACATCAAGGCTAGGTCAAATGGGTACTGTCTACAACTTTGGGTGTTCTTGTGTGACCCCTCTCACTTTATATCAGCTGGATGCTTCACTCTCAGCTCTAGACCTCTGTGGCTATGTCCTTGTCCATAGGCTCAGGTGTCCCCAGGTCTCACCATATTTTGGACCAACAAGTCCTTCTTCTCTCTCTCATCTCCAGGTCCATCGGAGTCTGTGGAACGTAGTTGAACTCAGCCCATTTCTTCATTGCTACCTTTCCCCCTCTTCTATTCACAAGTAGATCAACATGGGCACCAGCAAGCTTACATGCCTTCTCATGTGTTCCCTTTGAGTTTCAGTCTTAGGGGGGGTTTGTCCTGAAGGAACTTGATTGCTTGCCTTGATGGCTTCCCAGCAAACAACTTGCTTGTTCTTGTAGTAGCCAGTCATACTGCCATTTTTTGTTTTGGGTCCCTCCTGATGATCTTTCTTTGAAGATGTATCTTCTGTTGCTCTAGCTGTTCCAGGCTGGTCTGCTTGTCCCTTCTAGTGGGAATGTTCTGAATAGGGGTCAGGATTCCACCAAAGGTTGTATACACTGCAAAGGCTTTGCAAGATGCCTATTTCACTGGGCAAGTTCTAGAACCCCTTTTAGGTATTCTAATCTGTTATAGGCTGAAGACAGACTCGCAAGCTTTATGTAATCTTGTTTCCCGACATTCCTTTTTATCCCACTCAAGTTTAAATTTTACAATAATAGGAAATGCCTAAGACAGTCAAGCATCTTAGTATTAATTTTCCCTCTTCAAACTATGCCTTGATCCCTGTATCACAGAGCCCTGGAGGACATATTTATTTATTTGAAATAAGTAACTGTCAATTTCCCCTTTTCAAAAACTGGGATGTCACAATTTGACTCAGTTTTTGTTTGTGAATTTACATGACCTTCTGTATTAAATGGATGGCCTCAATTAAACATGGCTGCAATAGTTAACATTTTACAATCTTGAGCCTATTGTTTATTTTTTTCTTGACAGTTTCAGGCTTATTTGAAATGAGTAAAGTACACTCTAATTTACCACAGAAAATGACCTTTGGCTATAGTTTTACTTTTGTGTCACTTACTCTGAAGTATTAAGGTGCTTAAATAACATTAAAATATTCAAATCCCTTTTAATCTTAAAATTTTCAAGCTATTTTCGAGTGGCATTTATCTTTGATTCAAAGCAATTGCAATCAGTTAGGCTGTGAGGTTAGGACCTGAGGTCAATTTATCTTTCTATTTCTTCCATCTAATGCTGTGCATGTCTCAAGGTTACTGACTTTATTGTTAAATGTAGTTTTTGTTTTTTGTTTTTCCCTACCTGAGAATGTTTAGGAATTTTGTGACTAGAACTGAAGAATTAAAAGTTTTCATGTGTTTGATTTTATTTAAACATATTTGACACTTTAAAAATTGCCACATTTAATTACCCCCCTTTCCCATTTTATGGGTGAGGAGGCTGAAACTTGAATACATTTTTCTTACTTGTTTAAAACAAGTACACAAAAAGCAGCAAGGGTGAGCATGTAATGTAGTCTGCAATAAGCCTATGCTCTTTTAATTTTGTTCCATTATCTATTATAATTAAAGTAAGTGTTCTGCACAATAGAGCATCAAATATAATGAACATGTGTGGAGGCACCCATCTCTACCTGCAGTTGATGTGACATTACTTTCCTGGCAAGTCATTCTGATAATATAAAGAACAGAGTCTGGCTCTCTGCAGGCATCAGACAGCTGTCTTCATGTTTCCTGGAACACAGATCAAGTGACTCTTGGAATCCCTTTTCATATTTCAGAAATAGGGAAATACTTTTTTCATTTGGGGCTTCTAACTGTATTTAAGGGGCACTTAGTAGCATTGTAGGATATGAGTTGGGCAGCTAACCACAAGGTCAGCTGTTTGAATCTACCAGCCACTCCATGGGAGAAAGATGAGGCTTTCTGCTCCTGTAAGGATTTCCAGCCTTGGAAATCCTATATAGGGTTGTTGTGAGTTGCAACAGACTCCATGGCACATAACCACCACCACGAACATCCTGGCTTGAAGGGATATAATAATAATGAAAATAATATGAACTGATAACATTTGCTGGGTGCCACATATGTACCAGGAACCATTTTCATCCTTTTAAGTGTATAACCCACCATTTGTCTGTCAGTTTGTTGGACTGTGGTGCCTTGTGTGTTGCTGTCATTCTGGAAGCTATGCCACCAATATTTTAAATACCAGCAGGGTCATCTCTGCTGGACAGATTTCAGCTGAGCTTCCAGAATAAGATGGACTAGGAAGAAGGAGAGCTGGACTATTTCTGAATATTTAGTCACTGGAAACCTTATGAATAGCAGTAGAACACTTGTCAGATAGCACCAGAATATTGAATATTGAAACATGATTAAAAAACCCAGAACGTTGTCAGATATAGCACCAGAAAATAAGCCCCTTATGTTGGAAGGCACTCAAAATATGACTGGGGAACAGCTACTTTCTAAAAATTCCTTAGGGACTTTCATTTGCTCATGGGTCACAACAAAAAATGAGGAGAAACGGCTGTAAATATCCATTAATAATGGGAATATGGAAATGTTCTAAGTATGAATCTAGTAAAACTGGAAGTTGTAAAAAATGGAATGGAATGCATAAACATTGATATCCTAGGGATTAGTGATCTGAAATGGACAGGTATTGGTCATTTTCAATCTGACAACCACATGGTTTACTATGCTGGGAATGACAAATTGAAGAGGAGTGGCATTGCATTCATCATCATAAAAAAACAAACAAACAACCTTTGAAGATCCATCTTGAAGTACAATGTTGTCTGTGATAAGATAGTATCCATATGCCTACAAGGAAGACCAGTTGTTGTT